AAACATGAGGGCCGGGCCCGCAGGCGAGCCTCTTCACCGGCGCGGCGCTCCTTCCTCCTCTCTGTGGCGAGCGCACCGCGCGCTATGCAAGCTAGAAGGGTGCGGTTTTCGACGCGCATCTTGTCTGAATCACCTGTACAGCTGGATTCGACATAGCGGCTCACATATTTTAAATTAGATCTGGCAAAATTTGAACGGCTTTGGTCGTATTACTCACTATGTGAAAAAAATACATATTCATGGAAAATTTCTTTGCTGTCAAGCATCAACAGATTTAGGTCATTACCGTATTGAACGAGTTATATTTTAACATGCCGCCCTGCATGTTACAGTTTGACGCTGCTTATTTTTGCAAAATAGATGTGTGATATAACACAGCGTGCTGTCTGATGACACTGTGTTTCTACCACTTACCGGGCTAAAGTTGGCCAGGAAAATTTCCTGGCCAGGAAAATTATGCCTTTTTTTTGGGTGCTATAAAAATGCGTCCCATGACGTCAGGAACAACATATCAAGAGATGGCGGAAGCAAATTTTCAAAATTTTACATGACTCTGGACTTAGAAATTTTTTGCGGCAAGGAAAATTTCTTTCTCTGGCAGTCATATAGAAATGCCTCTCATGACGTCAGGAACAACATGTCAAAAGATGGCGGAAGCAAATTTTGAAAATTTTATATGACTCTGGACTTAGAAATTTTTTGCGGCCAGGAAAATTTTACTCTTTGGCAGTCAAAAAAAAAAGAAAATGGGGGTTCAAACGTGTTCATCAGCGGCCCCAGTGACTCTTTGAAAACATCCCACAGTTAGAACAAGTACCGATTTTCTTCTGGTAACCTCTGAAAATGGACTTAGCCGCAAATGCAACCGACTCCGTGGTCCAAGTGACCGTTTTCAAAGCGTCTTGGACGGCTTCGGGTACTTGTATAAATTACAATGGGCATTCAAACTTGTTCATCTGCGGCCCTAGTAACCTTTTGGAAACATCTCACAATTTATACAAGTACCGATTTTCTTCTGGTGGCTTCTGAAAATGGACTTATACGCAAATGCAACCGACTCCGTGGTCCAAGTGACCGTTTTCAAAGCGTCTTGGACGGCTTCGGGTACTTGTATAAATTACAATGGGCATTCAAACTTGTTCATCTGCGGCCCTAGTAACTTTTTGAAAACATCTCACAATTTATACAAGTACCGATTTTCTTCTGGTGGCCTCTGAAAATGGACTTAGCCGCAAATGCAACCGACTCCGTGATCCAAGTTACCGTTTTCAAAGTGTCTTGGACGGCTTCGGGTACTTGTATAAATTACAATGGGCATTCAAATGCGTTCAACTGCGGCCCCAGTGACTTTTTAAAAACGTCTCACAATTTATACAAGTACCGATTTTCTTTTGGTGGCCTCTGAAAATGGACTTAGCCGCAAATGCATCCGACTCCGTGTTCCAAGTTACCGTTTTCAAAGTGTCTTGGACGGCTTCGGGTACTTGTATAAATTACAATGGGCATTCAATCTTGTTTTCAGAGGCCACCAAAAGAAAATCGGTACTTGTATAAATTGTGAGACGTTTTTAAAAAGTCACTGGGGCCGCAGTTGAACGCATTTGAATGCCCATTGTAATTTATACAAGTACCCGAAGCCCTCCAAGACACTTTGAAAACGGTTACTTGGATCACGGAGTCGGTTGCATTTGCGGCTAAGTCCATTTTCAGAGGCCACCAGAAGAAAATCGGTACTTGTATAAATTGTGAGATGTTTTTAAAAAGTCACTGGGGCCGCAGATGAACAAGTTTGAATGCCCATTGTAATTTATACAAGTACCCGAAGCCGTCCAAGACACTTTGAAAACGGTAACTTGCATCACGGAGTCGGTTGCATTTACGGCTAAGTCCATTTTCAGAGGCCACCAGAAGAAAATCGGTACTTGTATAAATTGTGAAATGTTTTTAAAAAGTCACTGGGGCCGCAGATGAACAAGTTTGAATGCCCATTGTAATTTATACAAGTACCCGAAGCCGTCCAAGACGCTTTGAAAACGGTCACTTTGACCACGGAGTCGGATGCATTTGCGGCTAAGTCCATTTTCAGAGGCCACCAAAAGAAAATCGGTACTTGTATAAATTGTGAGACGTTTTTAAAAAGTCACTGGGGCCGCAGTTGAACGCATTTGAATGCCCATTGTAATTTATACAAGTACCCGAAGCCGTCCAAGACACTTTGAAAACGGTAACTTGGATCACGGAGTCGGTTGCATTTGCGGCTAAGTCCATTTTCAGAGGCCACCAGAAGAAAATCGGTACTTGTATAAATTGTGAGATGTTTTCAAAAGGTTACTAGGGCCGCAGATGAACAAGTTTGAATGCCCAATTGAATTTATACAAGTACCCGAAGCCGTCCAAGACGCTTTGAAAATGGTCACTTGGACCACGGAGTCGGTTGCATTTGCGTATAAGTCCATTTTCAGAGGCCACCAGAAGAAAATCGGTACTTGTATAAATTGTGAGGTGTTTTCAAAAGGTTACTAGGGCCGCAGATGAACAAGATTGAATGCCCATTGTAATTTATAAAAGTACCCGAAGCCGTCCAAGACGCTTTGAAAACGGTCACTTGGATCACGGATTCAGTTGCATCAGCCGCCAAGTCCATTTTCAGATGCCCCCAGAAGAAAATCGGTACTTGTATAAATTGTGAGATGTTTCCGAAAGGTTACTAGGGCCGCAGATGAACAAGTTTGAATGCCCATTGTAATTTATACAAGTACCCGAAGCCGTCCAAGACGCTTTGAAAACGGTCACTTGGACCTCGGAGTCGGTTGCATTTGCGGCTAAGTCCATTTTCAGAGGCCACCAAAAGAAAATCGGTACTTGTATAAATTGTGAGACGTTTTTAAAAAGTCACTGGGGCCGCAGTTGAACGCATTTGAATGCCCATTGTAATTTATACAAGTACCCGAAGCCGTCCAAGACACATTGAAAACGGTAACTTGGATCACGGAGTCGGTTGCATTTGCGTATAAGTCCATTTTCAGAGGCCACCAAAAGAAAATCGGTACTTGTATAAATTGTGAGACGTTTTTAAAAAGTCACTGGGGCCGCAGTTGAACGCATTTGAATGCCCATTGTAATTTATACAAGTACCCGAAGCCGTCCAAGACGCTTTGAAAACGGTCACTTGGATCACGGATTCAGTTGCATCAGCCGCCAAGTCCATTTTCAGATGCCCCCAGAAGAAAGTCGGTACTTGTATAAATTGTGAGACGTTTTTAAAAAGTCACTGGGGCCGCAGTTGAACGCATTTGAATGCCCATTGTAATTTATACAAGTACCCGAAGCCGTCCAAGACGCTTTGAAAACGGTCACTTGGACCACGGAGTCGGTTGCATTTGCGTATAAGTCCATTTTCAGAGGCTACCAGAAGAAAATCGGTACTTGTATAAATTGTGAGATGTTTTCAAAAAGTTACTAGGGCCGCAGATGAACAAGTTTGAATGCCCATTGTAATTTATACAAGTACCCGAAGCCGTCCAAGACGCTTTGAAAACGGTCACTTGGACCACGGAGTCGGTTGCATTTGCGTATAAGTCCATTTTCAGAAGCCACCAGAAGAAAATCGGTACTTGTATAAATTGTGAGATGTTTCCAAAAGGTTACTAGGGCCGCAGATGAACAAGTTTGAATGCCCATTGTAATTTATACAAGTACCCGAAGCCGTCCAAGACGCTTTGAAAACGGTCACTTGGACCACGGAGTCGGTTGCATTTGCGGCTAAGTCCATTTTCAGAGGTTACCAGAAGAAAATCGGTACTTGTTCTAACTGTGGGATGTTTTCAAAGAGTCACTGGGGCCGCTGATGAACACGTTTGAACCCCCATTTTCTTTTTTTTTTTGACTGCCAAAGAGTAAAATTTTCCTGGCCGCAAAAAATTTCTAAGTCCAGAGTCATATTAAATTTTTAAACTTTGCTTCCGCCATCTTTTGATATGTTGTTCCTGACGTCATGAGAGGCATTTTTATATGACTGCCAGAGAAAGAAATTTTCCTTGCCGCAAAAAATTTCTAAGTCCAGAGTCATATAAAATTTTTAAAATTTGCTTCCGCCATCTTTTGACATGTTGTTCCTGACGTCATGAGAGGCATTTCTATATGACTGCCAGAGAAAGAAATTTTCCTTGCCGCAAAAAATTTCTAAGTCCAGAGTCATGTAAAATTTTGAAAATTTGCTTCCGCTATCTCTTGATATGTTGTTCCTGACGTCATGGGACGCATTTTTATAGCACCCAAAAAAAAGGCATAATTTTCCTGGCCAGGAAATTTTCCTGGCCAACTTTAGCCCGGTCTACCACTTTACATGTGCATCTGCGCAGGTATGGGCGGGTTAGAGGCGTCCCGCCGGGGTAACCCGTCCCCTCGCGCGACCCGCGTGCGGCGGGGGCTTTCCCCCGAGGCAAACAATCCCTTTGGAATTATTCGCTACAAATTCTAGGAATCTGAGGCAAACAAGGGTACGCCTAACCATGATAGAGAATACCGGTCTACTAGCCGTTATCAGGCATTGCCACATGTTCAAAAGTTCTAACTTGTCCTAACAAGATTGAGTGTATCCCAGCCGGCACTAACCCAAAGGCTTTCCGGTGGTCACCCCTGCATCCGGACTGTATCGGACAGACCGTCGGACAGATTCGGACTCTCCGACAGCCTTCGGCAAATAATCGGGCTGTCCGCTTCGGCTGTCCCCGGATTCGGACTCGAAAAGTCGAGTCCCGGACAGAAAACGGACTGTCCTGGGCCAGTCGGACAGCTTTGGATGTGTCCTCGGCCAGTTTCGGATGATTTCGGTTGTGTAAGGGACGAAATCCTGGACCGGAAGTCATAGAACAAATGTGAGAATCAAAACGGCTTCTGCTCATGCGCAGACGCTGCGTCAGTGTGTGTGTGGAGAGGGGGGGGGAGCCGTTTTAGTTCTTACTTTTGTTCTTTGGCTTCCGGTTCAGGGATTCGTTAAGATACCCTATATAATAATCCTAACTGCCAGAGCAGATTAAAGCCAATCCTTACTGTCAGTACAGATCCAGAACAATCCTACTGTCTGTGCAGATTGCCTAACTGGAGAGGTAACTAAAACTGTTTATGAACTATCTTCATTGCAAATCATTGAATGTCGATTTCCTTAAAATACAAGGTAGGTGTACGCCAGACCGTGCCTTGTCGTAACAGGCTTCGCGATGCTGCGCCAGTTCCGACAATCGACGCCTGGTGTTCATACCTACCTTGGTCTGCGGCGCTTGCTTGCCTTCGGCAGATTGCTTTCCGTGACACACCGTAGTAATGGGCGTGATCGCCACAAAAAATAGCATTTGATGATCAAATTCGACACTGGACCATGAGACTAACTGCACTTAACTTTGGGTCGGGGCCAGAATGAGTTCAATTTTCGTCATCAGCTCCATCAAAGCACGGTAAAAACGGAACCTGGTTTTCCCAGGAAGCCTATGGGAGAGACATAGGCGATTTCCAGGAAGTTCCTGGGAAAACCAGGTTCCGTTTTAACCGTGAGAATATAGGAAACGAATTCAAACTTGACAAAAAGTTAAAAACACTTTTTTAAAAAAATGTCACTTTTCTGCCGTTTTAAACTGTTTTTTTGTTGTTGTTTTTTTTGTTAGTACGACTGAATGGATTGAGATAGACAGCTGAATTTTTGTGTGTGGCGAGCCAAGGACTTACCTAATGACCCTGCAAAATCGCAGCCAGATCGGCCAAACCGTGAGTAGTGCGGACACACACACACATACACCGACAGAAAAAACTTTCCAACCCCACCCGAGTAACGGGCCTCGCTATCGCTCAGCGAACAATGTCCCTGTATTCATATGTATTATGTTTTGGTGGTTTGGGTTGGATTAGGAGATGTCCTTGGATTCTGGGTTGGAGTTGGCGAAATGACTGTAGACTCGGATGGTGCTCTATAGACTGTATATTCTCACTGAACGACTTGATACAATCGATCTGACAGATTGACTGATTATACAAGCCTCATCCAAGGCCGGACTAACCTGGACATAACATAGCATACATGATTCTACCTAACTTTAGACAATGCCATCTAGGAGGCCGTGACCTGACGTCACCATACGCCACAATATGAGGATGAAACTTTTAGACAAGCCCTTCTGCGAGTATTTTCATGAAGTATTTCGGCCTTGCGAATTTTGAGAAAAGACCACTTCCACTTTTTACGTCGTGTCCAGTTAAGATATTGCTGAATTGGCACTAACAGTTAGGATTGTCTTGTATCTACTTTGGCACACTGTTAAAAAAATATTCTGAAATTTCAGTCAAAATTTGACTGAAGTTAATTAACAGTAAGGGGTTCTGAAATTTCAGACTATTTCGGCGGTCTGAAAATTAAGAATAGGGTGGTCTCAAAGTTTAGAATTGGGAGGTCTGAAAGGTGAAAACTGCAGTTAAGACCATTCTTGCTATTGGGACCCTTCGGAATAATGTCCATAGCTGTGTGGTGTGCTGACCTCTCTGCGACCTCATGGAGCTCAACGACCTTCCCGAGGACGAGCTTCTGTTGGTGCTGGCCTTGCTGGCGCCGGTCGACTTACTGCGTTGCCGCGCCGTTTGCCGTCGGTGGCGAGTCCTGGCGCTGCACCCCGCAGTGTGGAGGCGCCAGTCCTTCGTGTGGGAGAGTGAGGCCGATGCCGCCACTGCCCGCTCCGTCCTGCGCCTGGCACCTTGCTTGGGACGTCTCTCCATTGAGTAAGTGCACACACACTCAGCCTCTTATTGCCTTTTTACCTCTTGCCACACTTAGGAAAAAATTGTGGTAGAAATCCTAGAAAAGTATCGGACGCATTTAACCTGTTCGGTATGGGAATTTTCCCACTCAGGACATGGAAATTTTACCATATGCCGATTTGTCAAAAAGCCTACACATGTTTTTTTTTTTTTGGTCCAAACATATTTTTTCTTCAGCTTTGCATGATTTTGTTCGTTGTATGGGGTATTTAGCCCATTAAATCTGACTTTTCGACTTTGCAAAGTACTTTTGAATTTCTACATAATCTTTTGACAACTTTATCTTTAAAACGATCAAAATTGTGCATAGCTAAAGAGAAAATAGTACATTTTCCTTCTCCTCAATAAACTTTTGAAGCAAGAGAAATAAGTCCATATGTGTCTGAGAGTGCACTCTAAAAGTTAGATAGTGAAGATTCGTGATAGCAGTTTCTTCCTTATTACATTTGGCCGATGAATACCTCAGAGGATACCCTCCCCTTTTTTAGTGACACACGTAAGAATCATTTGTTGGTTTACTAAAAAAATGTGAGTTTTTTTTTAGATTATGTTCTGAAATTTTTGGTTGTTTGCTTAAATTAGTATGTACGCTCGCACTATTATCTGCGAATACCTTCAAAAAAAAAAGGTAAAGAATATTTATACTGGAGGTCAGTCGAAGCGTAAGTCTCAGAGTCGCTAAACATTACTCGAACCGGACGTGCGACCCCCTAATGGATTCACTGAGAATGCTTTTGCAGTGCACTTGAAGTGCAAAGCCTTCCTACTTCCACGCATTTGCACAGGGCATCTTCGGGACGCATTGCACCACACGGTGCTGTAATCATACTGTAGTTTTTGAAATCTGTGTTGCTCTCCGAACGAGGAATCCATTGGTGGGGTCGCAGCACTGAAATTCGAGGGGTGAGACATCTGACCGATTTTCGGTGATACATAAAGATACTCAGTACTCAGTATGCATGTACAGATGCATACTTGGCTGAGTACACATCTTCACAGAGAGAAAAAAGTACGGAACATGTCTGGTCTATAATTTGCCTGGACCGTCCGTACTTGCCAACTACGGAACGTTCCGTACTTCTTTTCCGTACCCTTCTTTTCCGTACCCATTTACATGGGTTCATATGGAGCAGGTACTTTTCTCCGTACCTCCGTACTATACTTTTCGTACCATTTCGGAATTTTACGGAATTTTTTAGAGTGTACAGATGCATACTTGCCAAGTATGCACCTACAGATGCATACTTAACAGGTATGCATCTGTAGATGTGTACTGAGCTTGGTATTCATCCGTGGATGTGTACGCAGCTAGGTATGCATCTGTAGATGCATACTGAGTACACACTTCAGTTTGTAGAGTATTTGGCGACTGACTCGAGAGCTTAAAACAAGTCCAGAATTTTGGTCGCCTTCATCGACCCCAGCACACGCGTCTCATCCGAGTGCCCTAGGGTTCGTGAGCGCATGCGCCGGGTAGTGACAGCCCTCAATATAGATACTAGGGTCAGGGCGGGGAAGAACTGGACAGGGGAAGAACTGGACACCCCATATTTTACTTCAAATACTGTAGGCACAGGAGTAACAACTATCAAAAGTTGTTCCGTGGCATCAGCGGTTCATTTCACGACAGTTGTCAGGCCAGTACATACGGCATTTGAAGTAAAATGTGGGGTGTCCAGTTTTTCCCCGCCCTGACCCTACTCTCTTTTTCACAGCATGTTGGCTTTGCATCATGCCTTACCAGCGGACATGGGGCACGTACTGACGACGACGGCCTGTAATGTGCATGGCTTGGAGTGCTTCGCCGACCCCTACAACACGCATCTAGTTATACCAATTATTGAAAGGTTTGTTGTTAGTTGTGGTTGTTGGCTTTCACACGTCTCGGTGGCTTCTCTGGAAATTTGTTATATGACAACAATGTTTGTTTTAGGATTTGCACGATCGTTGTTTATGAACAGAAAATCTGTTGAATGAACACCTAGTTGATTTTAATCAAGATTACATTACTGTTTTCAGACAAAAAAGTTGCAATAAAACAAAGAAAGATTGTCTTGGATGGATATCCTGTTCAGACATCAAATAGACGTCTTGTAATGCAACATCCCTGCAGGATATTGTGTTTTAATGTTGCAGTGGATTTTTAACAGTGCCTGTGCAAGTACACTGGTGTAACAAAGGCTGAAAAATTACGCCCTTTAAAGGGCATAAATCGTTTCATGCCCTTGGTAAGGGCGTAAATGGTATAGGAATTTTACACAAAATTTTAATGCCCTTCCAAAAGGCATTAACGATTTACGCCGCAGGGGCGTAAATCGTTTACGCCCTTGAAGGGCATAATTTTAATGCTTTTGATTCACCAGTGTAGTTTGTGCAACCACAATATATACTTTTTTATTCTTTAAGAGCTACTTAAGAATTTTTAAATAGTGTAGTGACACTTCTTCAGTTATTTCTTTTTGAATAATTTTTCAAATACTAAGTATTACCGTCGCCTTAACGAATACGTACTCAGTACACGGCAAAAGTACCGCCTGGGATTCCCAGGCGCATCATGGGAAAAAGGGCCTATTTTCCAGGCACCGCCTGGGAATCCCAGGCGGTACTTTTGCCGTGTAACGTGCTGAGCACAGAAAAACAGAACGAAGAATCGCTTCTCAACGAAGGAAATAAAGGCATTGCAAAATCTACGAAGAAATACTTTGTAGTAAAAATGCTTCGTAGTAGGAGGCATTTCTTGATACGTAATACGAAGTAATTCTACGATGCTATTGTTGTAAAAACGGTTCCTGGTTTTTCCAGGGACTACCTGGAATCCGCCTAAGTCAATGCCATAGGCTCCCTGGGTAAACCAGAAACCGAAACGGTTCTTCGCGGAGTTTTTACTGTGTGCACTCTCATTCAAGGAACGTGACACCACGTCGAAACGAACGTGACAAGATGTCTTGTTCGTTTGAGCGTTGTCTCATATTCGTTTGGATGTGAATCTGCCTAAAACTAGCTTCTTCATTCACACGAACGTGACATTTTATCGCGTTCGTTTCAACGTCATGTCACGTTCCTGGAATGATTGTGTGTGTACTTGGTAGACAGTTGAGTTTGCAGTGTGGTGGGGTCTTAACGATGACGGAGCTTGCGTCACTATCTAACTGTTTCTCACTCATTCTATAAAATGTATTTCAGGCTGGGGCATTGTGGGCGCCTGACGTCACTGAAGGTGACATTTGTTCCCTTCGGTAACGGATGGGAGGCGGCCTTGGGGACATTGCTCCAACATGTGCTGCAAACAGAAGGTGAGTGTGATTGCGTGTCGGGTACCTCTGGGTTCATCTCCCGCACCAAAATTTTAAAGTGTGTCTTTAAAGTGAACTTCAGGCTCCTCTAAGTGCTCATCAAGTTGTCGTACGTTTTTGGTTGTTTAGGGTTGCATTTGCTTCACGTCTTGATAGTCGACGAGGACGCCTCACTGCAGCCAGTATTTCCACCCATACCGCCACATATTTCCGACGCCGCTGTTCCTGCGTCTCTGCGACGCCTCCATTACGAGTACGAGAACTCGGGGGTTCTGGACCCGTTTCTGCAGCTACTACTCACACGGCACGCAGCCACCCTTGAGGTAGGGAAAAATCGGTTGTGGCCAGGTTGATGACGTTACTTAAGCGGGTAACGGTGTTACCGGTAAGGTGGTAATGGTTAAATGACGCTAACGTCAATGCGAGGGGGTAACCACTCGCGTCATACCCTGTACTCATAAACTGTGGATTTCACGTAATACACGTCGACGTTATACCATTTTTGGGTCAAATGTGCTAAATTTTGGCATTTCAATGCCGTAACACCCGTGTGATATCGTCCCCGTTTTGATGCACGGTACCAATATAGGTGTAATTTAATCAATTTTTGGTGAAACACTAAGATACGTTGTTCTGTCAGATGACCACTCATATGTGGCAAGCAGAATTACCGCTGTTTGTGCACTGTAACATAGCTCTGCCAGACATTTAGAGTCTTGTTATTTTCCTAATTTCCTTAATTTTCTTCAAGTCCGTTGGAGTCTGGACTGTGGACCCACGCGCGGGCGTGCTGCTGTCCGCGATGCCTCACCTACGGAAGCTGGAGTGCCTGCTGCAGGAGGACATGAGGGCTCTGGCGCTGCCGCCGTCGCTGAGGACGCTGGACCTGGACTTGTGCGTCCACCTGGAGACCGCCGAGCCAGGACGCGTCCCTGGGTTGGAGGCTTTCCTCCACGCCGCCGTGGTCCAGCTCGACGAACTGGTGTTGCGCTGCGGCCGCGGCTCGTGGACCGACGACCCGGAGGTGGTGGAGTTGGTGCGGTGCGTGGGGGGCGCGAGGGCGACTGGCAGTGTGCTGCGCAGCCTGGCCTTCCAGTCGGGCCGCGGCCACGCCACTGTCATCTTGAGCCCCTTGGCGAGCGCGCTGGCACACTTGCCTCGCCTCGCGCGCCTGGACATCGGTTGCCTGCCGACGGCAGCCTTCCTGGAGGCCCTCGACGGCGCGGTGCTGCCGGAGCTCACCGAGCTCACAGTGTGTCTGACGTCGCTCAGGGCGTGTGAACACAGGTGGATGCACAGTGTCGAGGTGAGGGGGTTGATGGGCAGGTACCCCCGCCTGCATGTTGTAATACAGTCAGTGCAGTACAAAGACGGCTGCCAGTGCAAGTTCTGCAAGATGGATTGCCACGACGTGCCCACCAAGGGACCCTGCCTCATTTACAGCCATCGGCGGGGCTCTACATCTTGCGAGGTGAATCACAAGTTGACCGTTGGCTCCGAAGTTTGTGCAGAAGTGTGTGTCAATGTGATTTAGTGTCGTAGTGTTCTGTTCCACTGTCGTCACTGCTGTATTTTCTGCCGTAATTTTACGATGAACCACAATGAAAATGTCAATGAAGAAGTGATTTGTAATAAAACTCCATTTATTGTTGATAATCATGTAGACCTGCTTCTACACTGTGCGAAAAAACCACAGTGAATCCCGTTAATTTTTTTGCCGGGATTTACTGTAGTTCACAACACCGGATTTACTGTGCCTGGCTACAGTATTTACTGTACCTCGTACAGGATATTCCGTACTCCACTCCTGTGATACAGTAAATCCCGTGCAAAGTACAGTAGAATCCTGTAAAAAAGTACTGTAAATCCTGTACTCTGATCTACAGTGACAGCTGTACCAATCACCACAAGATTTACTGTGATTTTTTTCCCACAGTGTAGGGGACACAGACCTGAATCTTCTCGTTGACCTTCTAGTTAGCGTCGTTCCGCATGCGCGCATTTTTAGCCGAAGCTCTGCTGACGTGCATCGTTCTCGCGCACAGGCCAGGGAGATGGCAACTTTGTGAAGGGTGCCTGTATTAATTTACATTCTAATGAGGTTCAAATTCTAGGGTGAAAGGCACCAGTTCTTCGTCGTAGGAACACTGTGGGAAAAAATGACAGTAAATCCTGTAGTGATTAGTACAGCGGTCACTGTAGTTCAGAGTACAGGATTTACTGTACTTTTTTAACAGGATCTACTGTACTCTACGGGATTTACTGTACCACGGGAGTGGAGTACGGAATATCCTGTACCTGGTACAGTAGATACTGTAGCCAGGCACGGTATATCCTGTGTTCTGAACTACAGTAAATCCTGGCAAAAAAAATTAACGGGATTCACTGTGGTTTTTTCGCACAGTGAAGACGGTGGCATTAGTTAACTGCAAGAAAAAGTGTTACTAATACAACAAATGTACAACAAAAACTGTACAATAAAAGTACAATAAAAGTGTACAATAAAAGATTGTAGAAAGTACAACGAGAATTGTAGAAAGTACAACGAGAATTGTACAAACCACAACGAGGCCTGGACTGCCCAGCACTCGTCAGGCCGGTTCCATTGTATTTTGCACAACAATTGTTGTACTTTGAAAGTACAAAAAAAAACTGATAAAAAATTTGCCAGAAATTTGTGTACTTCTGTTGTGGTTATTTCCTGCAGTGTTGGTACGTTAGTTGAGGTCAGTAGTGAACAATATTGTACATGGTTACAAAGGAAATACTACATATTATTGCTGCTGAAAAAAACTACGTAAGCAAAGGATAAAAAGTCAATAATGGAGAGAAAAAAGTCAATACGAGTCCGAGAGAGTACTCTGATATGACTTCGGTAAACGGTGGGCTCTACGACGGTGATGACAGTATTTTTTTCTTCCAGTGTGTCGAAGTGCAAATAATGAGTTCCAAGTGACACCCCAGTTCAATCAGGGCTACTGCAGACGATATTGATCACCTCAAGTCAGTTGCGCCTGCCATTAACTACTGAATCGGTCATTACAACTTTGTGGGCCTATAAAACTGTTTCGATCGCTGCTGGAAGCGGCGGTTTTCCGGTTCTAGACACGGAACCCTTCATTGCCTCACGGGCTCGGGGAGCATCGTCCGTGGTGGTATGGAGAGTTTTCGTAAGCATCCCATGGATGTGGATAACGTAATCCCTAAATGAGTTCATCAATGTGATCCGATTTGCACTCTCATTCCAGGAACGTGACATCACGTTGAAACGAATGTGACAAAGTGTCACGTTCCTTTGAGCACTGTATCACATTCGTTTGAATGTGAATTAGCCAAAAATTAGCTTATTCACATTCAAACGAATGTGGCACTGCTCAAAGGAACGTGACACTTTGTCACATTCGTTTCAACGTGATGTCACGTTCCTGGAATTAGAGTGTGAGACTCTTACGGCCAAAATGTGAAGCAATGCAAGGCAGTCCAATGTTGCAATCATAGTTATTCCCTTTCACTTTAAATGAAAGAGATGATTCCCCCTATATAAATGCATGGGGGAATTTCCAGAGTATGCTTCATTTCAAGCCAAGCGTAACTTCTTCAAGCGTAACTTTATGCTTGACTCAAGCATATAGTTACGCTTTACTTTTACCAGTGTCTGTACTACCCTGAAGGCAGGAACGTGGACTCATGTAGTATTAAAAATGCATCCATGATGTACAAGACATTCCAATTTCGGTAGAAACAAGGAAACTAGAAAGCACGCCTCAACGGTGGTGACGTCGCGCCTGGAGGACACGCAGGCTGCGGCGGGGCCTAGGCGGCGTGCTTGCGTGACTCAAAGGCCCCACAACCTGGAGGACGCCAAGCACGCCTCAACCGTATGCTAGCTGCGACGCGGCCCATTCGGCGTGCTTGAACGGATCAAGGGCCTCTCAACCTGGAGTACGCCAACACTGCTAACCTTCAGAGTATCTGAAAATTTCCATAAGTGTCGCATCACTCTGTAGACGGTTTCTGTGATTTAAATCTTTACGTTGGAATGGGCTACGGAACCACGTGTACTTTGTTCTCCCAAACAAGGCGGAATTTGGAGAAAACTCAAGTGCAGCTGAGGTCTGCATAGAGCAAGGGGTTGACCACTCCGCTCAGGAGTGTACACAGGATTACTGATTACCAGTGATTTCCTGCAAACATACTATAAAAAAACTCTATAATTTTGGCCAGCTAAGAGCATTTTGGCCTAATTTCATAAGAAAAAACCCAAAATCCGATAAAAACGGCGAAACTAGCCAGTTTTGGTGTGTAATTACACTGAGATTCCAAACGCTATGAGTATAGCACGTATGGTGCAATGCACCTGAGATATTGCACCATACGTGCAATGCCTCAGCCGTATTGCACCTTACGTGCAATGCATCCCAAAAAGGTCCTATGCTAATGCATGGGAATGGGAAGGCATTGCACTTCATGTGCAATGCTTTTGTATTGCACCAATTGACGCTATACTCATAGCGTTTGGATTCTCAGTGTACCAATGATTACTGGACTAAGTGTACACACGATTACCAGAGTTGGTACCCCTCATAGAGTCTGTATTTCTGCGGTAAACTTTTGGAGCTACACTGTGGCAAAAAGATACGGAAAATTCTGTTAACAGCTTATAGTAATTCTCCGTAGCCCCCTTGTCAATATTCTCCGTAGGCACGCGTGCAGTATTTTCCGTAGGACCGCACAGTATTCTCCGTACGACCTTACAGTGTTCTCGGTAGCACTATACAGTCTTCCAGGTCCTACGGGGAATATTGATAAGAGGGCTACGGAGAACCCTGGCAAAAAAATTAACAAAATTTTCCGTACCTTTTTGCCACAGTGTATGTACCTCTTTTTTCCAACTAGTGATGAGGAGTCAAGTTGATTTGATTCTCTTCACATTAGATTCACAAAGACACAAGTTGAGTTATCTCCTTTTGCCATTTTGTGCAATGGAGTTGTGGACTACGGTTGAGTTACCTCCATTTACCGATAAAATTTAGACTGTAAAAGGGGTCAAGTTGAGTTATATCCATTTTTATGTGGATTCTCCTAAACTGTCAGGAATTGGGTCAGACAATATGATGTGATGGTGCAAACCATCCTGAGGCACAATTATAAGATACAAACTCAATTTGGAGATAAGTCGAATCATTCCCTTCTTCCGCTTCCTGGATCAATTTTCGTATATTACATTTTCTCTGTACATTCTCCGTACAACAGTACGCAATTTTTGTACGGTGTGGAGGCAGTCGTTGTATGCATTTTGACTCCGTAAGGATGGCGGAAGCGAGCGCGCCGGAGACAGTCCCCGCCGCGGCAGGTGGGCCGCTGGCCAGCCACTTGCTCTGGTGGGTGTATGACGTCACTCCTCACGAACATCGGACACGTTTTCACAAACCAGTGGCGTGGCTGCGTTCCTCAAAGGTAACCGATCTATCCAGGTTCTCCGGCACACTATCGTAAATTACACGAGTGGAAGCAGGCACCGCAAGCCGCAGCTGCACTACGACCTAAAGTGTGCACTCTGTATGCCTTTAAATGCATGTTTGTTAAAGTACACACCTACGCGCACGCACCTAAGTTTGTAGTGAGGTGTCTGGAAATCCGTACGGATTCTCACTAGGTCGATGAGATTCCTCGGTCCCACAAAAAAAAACAAAAAACACCTACACTCTCAGCACGTTATTGACTTTTTGATCGTTTTGTCAGTAAGTACTTATGCAAGTAATTTGTGCAACCATAATAAGCACTTTTCCTTTTTGAAGAACTACTTAGGAAATATTAAATAATGTACAGAGAATTTTAATTTGTACATAATTTTACAAAGCAAATTAGTCATACTTATTTAGAAAATACTAAGTATTATTGCCGTTTATACGAATACGTAAGTAATGAGGAAAGTAACGTGCCGAGAGTGAAGGTTTGTCCATGCAACTGTTGATCCAGGAATCCAAGAGAGGACTTTGGAAATCCACAAGGCAGCCTTAGCAATCGTAAAATAAAATGAATAATTCTTGGATTGTAAATACACTGCAAATCCAAGCGTAGGACAGGTCGACACTTCAAAGCGTAGACCAGTTTGTCCTACGCTTGCAAGTGTCGACCACAGCATGTCCGACGGCTGAAGTGTGGGGCCACAGTAGGAAACTCAGTGTAATTTGCCGTAGAACAAACAGTGTCCTACACATGCAGGCGTTGGACAGAGTGTGGTCGACACTTCAGAGCGTCGGACACAGCTGGTCGACACTTGCAAGCGTAGGACAAACTGGTCTACGCTTTAAGGGGAGGTTCTGGTGAAAATGCTATTTTCTCCTAAATAGGTCCCACTGTGAAAATTTGTTAAAAATTTGATGTCTTATCAAGTATTTATTAAAAATTTTCATTGGGGAGGCACATTCCATGCCCTGAACCCAGTCGCAGAGCCTTTTTCTCCCATTTAGGCTATAACTTTAAAAATCTTCTTGCGCATACTATTTTGTCGTAAAAGGTTGGCTTAGACATTTTTCACTTCTTCGATTCATTTTTTAAAAATGCCGGCATGCACATCTCAAAATGTCAATTGCATTTTTATTCGCAAGCTTTCTTACCAAGCATTTCACTATAATTGATCAAAAATGTACAAAATAGTCAAATTTTAGGGACTTTTCAGCTTTAAAAGCTAATAACTAATAATATGATGGAAGTTTTGAGCTCTGCATGCCGGTATCTTTTGAAAATGAGTCGAAGAAGTGAAAAATGTCAAGGTCAACCTTTTACGACAAAATAGTATGCGCAAGGAGATTTTTTAAGATACAGCCAAAATAGGCTCAAAAAGACTCTTCAACTGGGTTTACAGCCTGGCATGTGCCTTCAAAAGTCAAATTTTAGTCTCCTCAATGAAAAATTTTATATTCCAAACAAATTATGACTGTAGGATCCATTTGGAAAATGGCAAGATTTTCACCAGAACCTCCCCTTAAAGTGTCGACCTGTCCTACACTTGGATTTGCAGTGTATTTTAGAATTTCGAGGCTCATGTTCTACTCACATAAATCCTTACGAAGTACTTGGAGCAAACATACACTCCCGACAAAAATTAGCGGAACGCTTTTAGTCATCGTAATATTTTCTAAGTCTTTCGAGCTAGGAAGCTGAAATTTTGTACAGGGGTGCTTCCACTACCCCCCTCGAGGCCTGCGGAGCGCGTGGCCCGTGCGCCTCCCCTAACGGACGGCACCCACCCCTAAGTGCGCAAGGGTGAAAAAAACGAAGAAAACGTGTCTTAAAAACCAACTTTACCTTCATCGCAAAGTCCAAAGTTTTGGTTTACGAGGTCAAATGAGTCTCCTCTTTCCAACGATGCAAGCGGAATTCAATTTGAACCAACCCACCCCCCGCTGCAATCACCCCCACCCCCTCGAGGCGGTGGATTTCGAACATGTTCGAATTTCGCGCAAAACAGCGTCGGGGCGTCCCCCGTACCAAGCAATCACGTTTTTTCGAGGTTTTACCCACCCCCAGGTTAATCATCCCCCGGAAAGCCCCACCCCCTTTCGAACACCGGCCGTCCGGGGCCTTTCGGTTTGAGCAAAATGCAACAAAACTCCAGGGGGCATTTCTCCAGTGTCCAAGAAGACGTCTCAGCGAAGAAACGCGGTGCCGGACGACTGCAACCCCTGCGGTAGGGGTGTTCACCCCCTTGCACCCCTGTACGTCCCTGGCGGGGTTGGAAGCCCTCCGACGAGTGGGCTGGGCGAACAAGACATGGGGGAAGGGATCCTAAAGTTTTCGAGACGATCCCACCAACCGTTCGTCTTCCAGAGCGAAAAAAGCGTCATGTCTAGTAAAAACCACCCCTCACTTCACCCCCTTCCAGCGACTCACTGAGTGGGGGTAGCAGTCTTAACCAACGTCACATCCTCGGCCCAGACCTCATTTCCAATGCCTCCAAGTTTCAGACTGATGCGACAAAGCATGGGACCAAGGGAGCGACGCAACGAAGTGCCTGCACTCGGCGGCAACGGCCGCGCCGACCCGACGGGTCCATGCGCCGTGCAGGTAGGCAAGCCAACTCACCTGGCGGCAGGGTGATTAAAAGCCATTTGGAAGCCTGATTTTGGCTGGTCAGCCACTGTGGGGTGTTGGGAGACATGCCCCGCAAACAGTGCTGAAGCGTTGTGACGCTCGGGCGAAAATCAGGCTTCCAAATGGCTTTTAATCATCCTGCCGCCAGGTGAGTTCGCTTGCCTACCTGCACGGCGCATGGACCCGTCGGGCCGGCGCGTCCGTTGCTGCCGAGTGCAGGCACATCGTTGCGTCGCTCCCGCGGTCCCATGCTTTGTCGCATCAGTCTGAAACTTGGAGGCATTGGAAATGAGGTCTGGGCCGAGGATGTGACGTTGGTTAAGACTGCTACCCCCACTCAGTGAGTCGCTGGAAGGGGGTGAAGTGAGGGGTGGTTTTTACTGGAAATGACGCTTTTTTTGCTCTGGAAGACGAACGGTTGGTGGGATCGTCTTGAAAACTTTAGGATCGCTTCCCCCATGTCTTGTTCGCCCAGCCCACTCGTCGGAGGGCTTCCAACCCCGCCAGGGGCGTACAGGGGTGCAAGGGGGTGAACACCCCCACCGCAGGGGTTGCAATCGTCCGGCACCGTGTTTCTTCACTGAGACGTCTTCTTGGACACTGGAGGAATGCCCCCTGGAGTTTTGTTGCATTTTGCTCAAACCGAAAGGCCCCGGACGGCCGGTGTTCGAAAGGGGGTGGGGCTTTCCGGGGGATGATTAACCTGGGGGTGGTTAAAACCTCGAAAAATCATGATTGCTTGGTACGGGGGACGCCCCGACGCTGTTTTGCGCGAAATTCGAACATGTTCGAAATCCACCGCCTCGAGGGGGTGGGGGTGATTGCAGCGGGGGGTGGGTTGGTTCAAATTGAATTCCGCTTGCATCGTTGGAAAGAGGAGACTCATTTGACCTCGTAAACCAAAACTTTGGACTTTGCGATAAGGTAAAGTTGGTTTTTAAGACACGTTTTCTTCGTTTTTTTCACCCTTGCCTACTTAGGGGTGGGTGCCGTCCGTTAGGGGAGGCGCACGGGCCACGCGCTCCGCAGGCCTCGAGGGGGGTAGTGGAAGCACCCCTGTACAAAATTTCAGCTTCCTAGCTCGAAAGACTTAGAAAATATTACGATGACTAAAAGCGTTCCGCTAATTTTTGTCGGGAGTGTACTAATATACTTTGTTATGCTCTAAATACTTTTTTTACAACAAGCTGCTTTCCTTCGAAACGCCTAAAACAGTTTGTAAGGTTTTCATCAGAGTGACATGTGAGGACGATACACACGGAAAAAACAGTTTCTGACCTCAGGTAGCCCATCAATAAAAGGTAAAGAATTTCCAGGGAGTTCCTGGGAAAACTAGGAACCGTTTTTACCGTGCAGGCGCTATCGACGTGTGCAGAATCCATGGTCAGTTTTGTCCCGTGCCACTCAGGTTACCTTGGTTTTGGGTTACGTGCTGCTGGTGCAACTTGTGTCCGAAGCTGTTGCGATGCCGTTCGTCGACGCACTGGTGAACACTTTCGTTGTGCGCTACATTGCTGCAGGATACACAGGCCTTACATGCAAACTTTTATACCGAAATCGTTGGAGGCAACTTCAAGAAACATTCCTTTCCATTCTGAAGATTAGCACTGATCTCGAGCGTGACGCCAATCCAACGTTGCAGGTAATTACGGTGTTTACGTCACACAGTGGGCCAGAAGATCGGTGCCGGCAGCCAAAACTTTAGACGCATTTTGACGTCCAGAGTAGCAAAGCAGGACCGAGCCAAGCGTGTGACCCCCTCAATAGATTTGTGGTTCCGAGAGCAATCCGTTGGTGGGATGACACAATCGGTTCGAGTCCCATTTAGCGACTCAGGAGCTCAACACGCTTCCTGGGCTCCACCGGTCCTTTGGCCCATGCGTCAGGCCAAAAAATAGTGAGCCACTGAGCCACTCGCACTGAGTGCACTCGAAAAACCTTGCAAAGTATTCTCCGGCATTGCATTGCGAAGTATTTCTTGGCAACTTGCAAAGAAAATGCTTTGCAACGTTACAAACCAATGCTTCGCAACGTTGCATACTTTTTTCTTCGCAACTTACGAACAATTTCTTTGCAATGCGAAGAAAAAAGTTCGCAAGGGAGTTTGTAATACAATGCCGGAGAATACTTTGTACTGCAAAGTACTTTTCTTTGTAAGCTTTTCTGAGTGTGTGTATGTGTTGCAGGCACTTCTCCAGGACACGGCAAAGCATTGTGTACGTGTTCGTTCTTTCTACTGGGCTTTGGCCGTGGTTACCCTGTCCGGTGCCTTGGTGAAGATGCACGAGAATGCGCAATTGTATATTACGATCACTAGTGGGCTTTCTTGGATGTTCGGTGTTTCTGAGGTAAATGCTACACTCTCATTCTCGGAGCATGACAATACGTTGAAACGAACGTGGCAAAATGTCACGTTCCTTTGAGCATTGTGTCACATCCGTTTGGATGTGAATCAGCCATAAATTAGCGTTTTCACATTCAAACGAATGTGACACAATGCTTAAAGGAACGTTACAGAACGTGAGCAGAAAATGTCTACAGGAAAGAGTGTATCGATTGGTTTCAGAGTAGCGGCAAACCCGAGATCGTCTTTCGTTGGGATTTCAAATAGTGACGTGGCCTATACAATTTTGCGCAACATCTGGGTACTTAACTGTCATCCACACTAGTCTTGTTGCATTCATCATCATGCCATGTGTGATGGCTGCGTTTTACGAGGCAGTCGCTGACAGAATTGAGGTATGTTCTAAATTTATACATGAGTAAGGACTCCGTACTTCACTTTTGGAAAACTGTTCTGGGTTGTGAGAAACATCTCAATTTGAAAGTTGTCACCGAAAAAGATTTAGCTTTTTGAAACCAGTGAAACAACGTTCGAGGGACAGTTTTCTATGTTCCATTGTATTTTTGAGTCGATTGCTCAAAATGATGTATGGGGTAAAGTGGTTGGTGCCTGAGCCGAAAAGAATGGGATTTGGCTCAAAATTTCACCTTTACACAAGCCTTCACATCTTCCCTAAGCAAAGGAGATGACTGACCCACAAAATTTATTACTTTTCGTATGCCCAATTTCGCGCAAAGGAAAGCTATAAAAAAAAAAGCTGCACAGCAGAACAATTGAGAGGGTGCTCTTCTGGGGACGAGAAGTCGTCTTTACGTCGGGGAAATAATGCCTTTCAGTTTTTGGCCCGTCCCGTGTATATTTTTTTTAAAAAAGAAATGACGGAGGGACGGGCATATAGTATGATGCATGCTGTGCGTCCGTCCGATCGTTCGTCCGTTCGTTCGTCCGTCCGTTCGTCCGAGGACTTCGCGTGGTCCGATCTTGACCAAATTTGGTATGCAGCCTCCTTGGGTGACCCTAAGAACCGCCCGGTGGCAGCAAATCCGATCCGAGCCCCGGGGGATCCGCTGCAGGTGCATCATGGTCTACATGGGGTCGAGGAGGATTTCGGCAACGGATACAGCTAGAGGGGCATGTAGGGGTATTTTTGGAATCGGGGCGACAAGACAAAACCAACCGGAAGGTGATGAGTTAGGTAGGAGTAATAAAGGCCTAACTCGCCCAGGGTTCTCTTGGTTAATGTGTTGATATGAATGCAGGCAGGATCAGCAAAGGTACACTCCACTTCTGTGATGTCGGTTTATTACCCACTATCGTTGGTACTCACAAGTTTTGCAAGGCGTATACAGTGGTTGAACAGGGTAGCGGTGTAACACACAGATGGGCAGGGGTTCCCCTTGTGGCTGGCAGGCTTCTAGCAGACGTGACTCGGACGAGGATCGGAGACTGACTAGCTGACCTCGAGTCCAGCTCACCCCTTTAATTTATAGAAAGCTTCCCCGGAGGGGAGTGAAAGGAGAAGGGGGAGCTGCTCAGGAAAAGTGGGGAAAGGGAAGGAGGTTCCCTCCCTTCCGACTCGAGGTCCAGCGGGGCAGGGGCTACTCCGAATAGGATTCCCAGAAATGAACAGCTGTAGCCTCTGCCCCCCGTGACAATTGAATAACAGACGTTACTGACAGAACGGACGCATCCCTTGTTTACCCATATGTTGCTTATCACGGGCCTCAGCGTCCCCCAGCACAAGTTTGGGACGTCCCCGTTCCAAGGGGAGAAAACAAGGGATGCGAATGATTAATTGATTGAGGCAAAATTCTAATATTGAGAGAAAAAAAAGGGGTGGCGTCCCCCAGCACAAGTACTGGACGTCCACGGCCAGGAATTTTGCCGATGTGAAAGCAGTGAGAGCCGCTCTTATGCCACAAGGGGTTACAAAACAGAGATACAAAATTCGACAGCAACAAACACAGAAAATTTTGCGAAAAACGCATTTACAAAATGGTCCCGTTGTATTGGCACACGTCTAAAATTTGATTAAAGTAACAACTTTGGCACATTTGAGACAAATATTATTTGGCACAAGGGACATAGATCAATATAAGGCACTCAACTTTTACTAAAATTATGAGAATATAAGTCTTTGGTAAAATATGGCAAACACTTAAAACTAAAATACTTGGGCTGACCCGTGGGACGCCAACAATGTTAAAAAAGATAAATGTGTCTGTAGTACAGGCACTATAAGGCAAAAACACATTGATAAATAAGGGTAAATAATAAAATAAAAGGAAAACAAGGTGAAATTAAAAATTGACATCCGAACACAGCACTATCCAGACAACGCGGCCACACGCCGACACTACGTCCGCCGAGACACTTTCACACGAACACACACACGAGGAGCAGGGCCCCGAGCCCGTTATTTGGGGCACACAATCACACGGCACTTCACTGACAGAACACTTGCTTTGGTGTTAGTCCTCCAGCTGATGGTTGTTGTTGTTTTGGTTGGGGCAGGGCAGTGCCCTGGGCCAACCAGACAGGGGGGTGGAGGGGGTCGGTGAGGGTCGCCGGCCCAGACGGTGATGTTTACGTTGGAGGGCGATGCCCTGGGCCGGCGGCGTGGAGAAGGCCTGCAGCCACTGGAGCAGCTGATGATGCAGGCCAAGGCCGTGTGAGGCGTCCTTCAGGCCGCGAGAGCGCAGCGGGGAAAGCGGCGCACCAGCCGGTGGCTCGGCGCGCCGCGCCGCTGGCTCCGCGTGGAGGGGGCAGCCGTGTGTGGAGTGCGAGGGAGCGTCGCGACGTCGGCAGCGACGACGCACGGCAGCACCGTCGGGGAAGGCCGGTCGGCGCTGCACACTGGGAGGCTGGAACGAAAAAGGGAGTGCGAGTAAATTCGTATTTTTGGGGTGCGTTAGCGAACTGCGGTGGCAGTGCTAACGACAGGGCAAAGAAACTGAGTATACTAAATTGCGTACTGTGGTGCGGCTGGCAGGCAACGGCCGGGAAAAAAAAATCCCGATGGGCCGGTTGCGCAGAAGGTGCTTACAAACTAGGAAAATAAAACTAAAGTTATGGCAAGGCGGTCGGAATGTCCGCAGGCATGCAGTTAGTGGAATTAATTTTTAACTTATCATTAATGTTAGTCCTTAAAATTACTCAACTTTGGAGTCGTGCAGGGGGCGAGTCCGTTGAAGACGGCGGTTGGGTCGGAGGGTCGTCCGTCTGCCGCGCCGCGCCATCTGCCGCGTCTCGTGGCCCCCCGAGCCGTCGTGGCGGAAGTGTCTTGTGGTGTCCGCCCACGCAGCCGTGCGGGCAGGCTCGTCGTCGTCCACGGCGGGTAGACCGGGGGCAGCGACAGGAGGGTTGTTGTCCGCGGCAGGCCACGGCACCGTGGTCCGTGACTGGATGGACCGGACCGTGATGGTGGACGCCGGCCGGGCGGGGGCAGTCCGCGGGGCCGTGGCAATGGGCCGGAACAGCCGCGGGCTGATCGGCACGGCGGGCGGCGGGCCGTAGGGCGGCGGCACGACCTGGTCCTCTGGTGTTGGAGAAGCTGGTCTGGTGAGCACGGGCGGCGGTACGGCGGCCGGCTGGGGAGAGTGGGGCCGCGGCGCCACTGTAGCGACCGGCGGGTGGAAGGCAAAAGGGCGCCGGCCGTCAGGGAGCGGGGCGGAGCCGGCCGCATCACGGAAGCGCAGCAACAGCTGGGCCTCGTGATACAGCTGCGCCAACGCGTCGCGGCCAAGAGGTGGAGCCGGTTGGCCCCCCTGCAGCGGCGCCAAGGGCGGCGGTGACGGGGGCGCTGCCGGTGCTGGCTCCGGCGAGGGCGGCGGTGGAGGCCGTGGAGGTGGCGTAGGTGTCCTGGGCGGCGGCTGGGCAGGTGCCGCGGGTGGTGGCTGGGGTGCGGCGGGCGGAGCTGGAGGGGGCGGTGGTCCAACGGGCGGGGTCCGCGCCCGCGGCCGCAAGTTAATGGCCGGGACGGGGCGCTGCACGAGGTGAAGCGGCGCCCAGGTGGCCGTCATGGCCTCCAGGGCGGCCTGCACGACGGCGCGCTGCGCGTCATGCAGGAAGGGGTGTAGCACTAGCACTGTTTCACTTTGGAATGGGCAATTGGAACACTGTAAGTTTGACGGCCCGTGGAGCACCGTTGGAAGGAGGGGCCGCACCATACAGTGCGGACACCTGTCCCGCAGCTCTATTGACACCGAGTGGAGGCGCCCGGTGGTGTGGGCGCGGAGCAGGCCGGACGTCTGCGTGACAAGGCCCAGAAGGAACGCGGCCTCATTCGTACTTAAGAAATCGGCCCGGTCACGCAGGATGTCTTGCACACGAGTGTGGGCCACAATCACGTCATTCACCAACGCGGACAGGATGGGGCGCTGCATGGTGCTGCCGGTACAGCCGCCGCCACAGAACTGATTCTTCTTGCAGAGGGCTCCAGAGTCTTGACTGCCTGTTTACTTCTTCGGGGTAGCAGCGGCGGGAGGGGGCCGTGACGGTAACCAATCCCGGCCCGGGGTGGGCGGACGCATTGCGTCGGGGTCCGGGTCGGGTGAAGGGGTACGAGTCCTGGTTGAGGTGGGGGGGGAGGGGGTGGGGGTGCCTTGTAGTTCGGCTAGAAAATCGGAAAGGGTGCGTCGGTAGTGGGGCGCGTCACGGAGGGATACCGCGGGGGAGGGGGCGTCGCGGAGATGCTGCAGGCTGTCCAGATACGCAGCCACGGCGCGCAGGCGGTGGGCCCAGCGGGCCTGGAGACGCGACTGGCTTTGGGGCTTATGCATGACTGGAGGTGGGGGTGGAACGCGGAAGAGTGGTCGGCGGAGCAGTCGCGGAAGGAGTGGCGTATTCACTGGTATCGTTCACCACTGTTGAGAGTCGGGGGTACATGTGGTACACGGGTGGGGGAGCGGGGGTGAGGGGAGGGGGGAGAGAGTGGTGGATGGAGTTGCGGACAGGAGGGGGGAGGGAGGAAAGGGGCTGTGCGGAGTTGGAGGGAGGAGGGGGCGGGGGTGGAGAGGGCGTACCATTGGGGGAAGGCAAGGAAGGGGCCTGGCGAAGGGGTTGAGGGGAATGGAGTGGGGAAATTTGAAGGAGACCGGTGAGACGGTGCCAGGGTCAAAGGGCGGAGGTGGGGGTGGAGGGGGGTCCTCAGGGTCAGGTTTCGTGCGTGTGGCCTGTGATAGGCGATTGTGGAGTAGTGCGTGACTGAGGGCACCCCAAAAGGCGGAAAGAAGGTACCAACTGGTGCCAAATTCCTTGCGGAGTTGGCAAGTGCGAACGAAGACAGAGAGAATGTACTTGACTAGTTGAATAATTGTCATGATTCCGATGAGTGAACTCGTAAAAATGCCTAAAGAAGACATGTATGACCAAAGTTTGGCAAGGGTGGAGTGGG